ACAGCTGACCAACAGTCAGCAATTCAACAGTTTATTTAATTACAGTAAGCTGAAGTTTATATACCCTTGCAGTTAAAATAAATACTTAAAGTTAAATGGTCGTTCAATCCGTGTTGTTCCAGGGATTCCAGATATGCTACTAGCTATTTAAACTTCCTTCAAAGTAACAATATTTTACAATAATTATACCCTAGATTTCAGTCGGAAGTTTGCAACGTAGAGAAGCAGACATTCTTGACCCCATAAGTTATGGCATTGTCCGTCTGTCTGTCCGTTTCTACGCAAAAAGTATAAAAAATTTTATAACTAGTTTAGCTTATTCAGAAAAACAATTTAATTGCTAAGATTTATTTATTAGATTATCAATGACAAACAGTGATTAATAAAATTGAAGAACGGATTAAATTTATGAATGATGTGAAACATTGATTTGCATTTTAGATTTCTCACCCAGTCCACTGGGATGTTCCCATCCGGTCCATAATTAAATATAAAAGACAATCATACATGCGTTGCTGGTTAACTCTGAAAACTTCGGTCACACTATAAAGACTTACGACTTACGATTTTTTTTTTAAACACGTAACGTAAGTGTAATCAAAACGTAACAGAGGCTCATTGTCAGGGTTCGTAAAATATCCCTCAAAATCTGTCATTTTGTTAAAATAAAAAAATGTCAACCTAGGGCGGTGATATTTGTCACAATAAAATGAGGAGTAACCAAGCAGGGCTGATAAATATTTTTCTGATAAAAATCCCAACTGCTTTATGCTGCTTTCTCCTCAAAACATTTCCCTCATTTTTGACATTTTGTGAGGGAAAAATGAGGAAAATAAAAACAAAAAAAGGCATCTAAAACCAAGTTCGATTACTTTAAGTTCTAGACAAGACAAAACTAGTTCTAGACTTTATTATACATTTCATATGTTTGTCCCTTCGTCAAATTCAACATTTTTAAGCACTTCAGAATTTAGTCTTAAAATCAAAATATTTTCTAAAGATTTTTGGCTCAGTCGAGTCCTTAGCCGGGTAAATATATGGGGCAGAGAACTGAATTCTCTCTACAGATACCTGGGTCGCCGGTACAGACAAAGCTACTTCAGCAACTTTTCCAATTATTGGGTTCCTAACCGAAAATCGTTTCCAATATTCTAAAACATTCCCGTCAATCTCCATATGATCTCCGTATTGAAAATTAGATATCTGGGTTTCAATTGAGCGGTTATTATTTTGACTGAAGAGGTTCGGGTCGCATTTTAAAATGTTGAACCTGGAACTTGATGAAGTTTCTGGAAATTCCTCCGTTGTTGAACTTTCGGCATCACTTTTGGTATTCATTAAATTTTTATAAATAGACAGCAATTTTTTCTGAGAGTATAACTTTAATTACTTAAATTACTTAAATTTGTTATTACTAACTTACAGTGGCAATCCTTTTTTGTTCTTCCAACGAGTGTTGTTGTCCAGAACAGGAAGAGGCTCGTTCTGCCTACGGAAATCGGTTCGAAGTTTTTTAACTTGTTTTCTGCATTCATCCAAATTTTCTTCAATTGTTTTGATCACATCCCAAGAAGCTAATTGTAGTGTATGTGCAGCGCAATGTACTACGCTTAGGGAACTTTTTAAATTTTTTTCTATGTCAAGAAAGTTATCACAGTTTTCCTCATCTAACAAGCCAGCTTCTTCAAATTCTTTTAAAATGTTGGCGGTTTTTACGACGTTGGCACCGTTGTCTGTTGTCATTGAATAAATGTTATTAATATTAATTTCGAATTTTTTTTAAACAGCTAATTATTTCTGTTTTCAAGTATTCTGCAGTGTATCAGACCACAGAAGTTACATTAAAAAATAATTTTTTAAATATTTTTGATCTTTTTAAATTTTTAGGGTCCTTTGGAATTACGCCGTCATTAACATCTTGATTTGGCCTTCCCCGCCTCTATTGTCAAATTAAAATGTATCCCGGAACTATATAATAATGTCCTGGACAATGGACTTGACTTCTCCGACTAATGCAGTGAATTACCGTACAGTTTTCAGTTCGAAATTGAGTTTTCCAATGAACTGACGATGTTTCACAGAAAATGGCTTTCCTTGGAGTCATTTCACTTTTTTTGCAGTGTAGTGATGGTTTCTTCTCTTAATTTCTACTACAAAGTAATCTCAATGCCAAAAACCCCAAGTTTGCAGCAAGTTCCATAAAAAATAACCATATTTAGCGAGTGTCCGATTATTCGTTGAACCTTAAAAATCGGATTTTTTGTTGTTTTTGTTGGAAAACTAAGTGTTTTCGTGGAAAATATGTAATTTTTGTTTATGTTTTTGGAAGATATTAGCATTATGTATAAGTAAAAGCAAAAAAAAACGACGAATTTAACCCATTTTATTCATTTTTTTGGCATGTTTATTTTATGAAAGTAGGTGTCCGATTATGCGATGGAGGCCACCAATTTTGTAATATTAATTAGATATTCATTTTTAGTTGATTTTAGTACAGCCGAAGTAAGTTTCCGTGGTTTTTTTAAAGATCCCTTTAACTGCAAAGCTACATTGAAATAAGTTCTCCTTCTGAAAAATTGTAATACTCACTCGGTCATTACTTTCTGCTTCGTTATATTCTACTTCAAGTTGTAACTTAAAATGCCTTTTTATATTACCTGAATGGTTTGACATCGATTTATTGCAGTAAACGCATGTTACTACTTTTGGATCGTCCGTTAATTCTACCACAGCCTGTGAATCAAATTCCTTATTTCGTCCCATTATATCAGTTGTCGTTGCTTTGACATTATTTTCAACAAGAGAGAACGCTATAGTCGGGTTGTTGTCCCGACTATCTAATACCCGTCACTCAGCTAAAGGGAGTGCGAACGCTGTGTCGGGTTGATGTCCCGACTAATAATCGTAACTCAGCTAAAGGGAGTGCGAGGGAGATAGATATATAATTTTTGATTGCGTATAACTTTTTAATGAATGGTCCGATTTGAAAAATGTCTTCTACATTTCGATAGGTATAAATATACACAACAAAATTGCATTTATACTTCTCGGAAATCTTTAAAGGACCCATTTAAAATCGTTAGTGGGCGATTGTGGGCGTTAGAGGGGGCGTGGCGCTCGGCTAAAATAAACTTGCGCTGCGTAGGAAGCCAAAGAATATGTGTGGGAAATCTCAACCTTCTAGCTTTTGTAGTTTCTGAGATCTCAGCGTTCATACAGACGGACAGACAGACAGACAGACGGACAGACGGACATGGCTAGATCGACTCGGCTAGTGACCCTGATCAAGAATATATATACTTTATGGGGTCGGAAACGCTTCCTTCTAGCTGTTACATACTTTTGCACGAATCTAGTATACCCTTTTACTCTACGAGTAACGGGTATAATTATCAATTTTTTTTCCTCATTTTTTTTAACATTTTATTTTCCTCACTCATGATGAATATTTTTCGATCAGTGAGCGATATGTATTTGAATGAGCAAAGATGACAATTTGTTTGTATCTTGATTGATATTTATTTATTTTCATCACAGTCGGCTTGTTTTTGAGGGATATTTAAAATGAGTGATATTTACGAACCCTGCGACTTTCTTACAAAAAAGGACAAAATCAGACAATGAGAGAAAAAACGAGGGCGGCAGCGAGAACCACGGGAAAACTCGAAGAAAACAGGGCTACAGGGTGTGCCATTATTTTGTCTTGAATTAGAGTGATCATAAGTTCAAATGATCCATTTGAACTCGGCGCTCACTTGGAGCTGTCAGCTTGCTTCAACCTGTTACATAATTTCTCACGAATAGAATGTAATACATTTATAATGTCGCAAGCAATAATTTGTGTGAGCAAAGTCTCGGCGAAATCTGAAGTCTGAAATTTTGGCGGCTTTTCAAATTAAATTTTATTTTGGCGCCAGACTCGTCCAGAGTTGCCAGTCCGCCCGAATTCGAACCGTCTTTAATTGGTCTGTCTAAAATTTCCAAACTAGAAATTAGTTCAGCGCTCATGTATTTCCCCAAGAAAAATTTTTAGAACGAAAACGCACTGGTTGGAAATTTTTGGAACGAGATAGCAGTACTTAAGCAGTGCGGAAAATTTCGGTGTTGGATATTTTCTGAACTAGAAATTAGTTCAGCACTCCTGATTTTCCCCAAGAAACATTTTTAGAACAAAAACGCCCTGTTTGGATTTTTTAGATCGAGAAAGCAGTATTTAAGCAGTGCGCGAAATTTCAGTGTTGGATATTTTCTGAACTAGAAATTAGTTCAGCGCTCCTGAATTTCCCCAAGAATCATTTTTAGAACAAAAACGCCTTGTTTGGATTTTTTTAGAACGAGAAAGCAGTATTAAGCAGTGCAGGAAATTTCAGTGAAGGATATTTTCCGAACTAGAAACATGTACACAGCACAAAATGTCCTGTTTGGACAGCGTTTAGAAAAAAAATGCCCTGTTTGTACATTTTTAGAACGAGAAATTAGTTCAATAAATGTTTAGGCGCGTCCTTAAATTGTATACTTAAAATGGCTTTATAAGAATATGTATATATTTTAAATTATTTTTCTTTATTTATGCAATTTTTTTGTCGGATAAATGTATGTATAGTAATAAATTATTTTATTTTTTAAAAATAAAAAAAAATGTTTAAACTTTTTAAGCGTTGTGTTAAATATAGACTAGATGTATTAAAAAAGAGTAGTATTGAATTGTGCAATTTATTTTAACCGTATTTTAAAAATTTTTTATTTTGTAGTTTTATTTTGTTACTGCAGCTGACGAATTATAGGTTCTTAGATTCTCCTTTTAAGCACCACCCCTTTTAGAATACAAGGATTTTCTTAATTCGCCGCAACATGAACATTTTCGGAGTGCGCCACAAGCCACCCCCTTCCTGTTTTTGGTTGAGTCCTGCTCGTGGTTCGCAGGACTCGGTTCACATCGGAACGGTTACTTCAGCGAGGAGGAAACAACAATATGGGAAAGCTCCGGCCTCGGTTGCCGCAGTATCAAATGAATTCCAAGTCGAGGCGCACGTGTTTTGTCCTTTGGCGCGACTGTGAATCCAAGTCCTTCTTATCGCAGATGGTAAACTTCGCTTCGAAAGGATATCTCGCAGTAGCGCTTTCTACTGCGGTGTCGCGGTTTCTCGCGTAGGACAGCATTTAAATGCCGTGGAACCACGTTTCGCATGTTTTTTCAACTAGCGCGTGACGAAAGTAAAAAGGTAAAGGATCTATCCGGTTCAATTTCGCTCAGTGTAATGTTCTTGAATCAAAAGTGAAGCCGCTTATGCGGCCAGTGAAATATATTGTCAAGCTAAGCCAATAAAATACTGACAGACCTAAAGTAGAAAATTAATGGAGATATTTGAACCCAAAGTGAGTTGAAAAACGCCGTCATTTACGTTACTATTTTTATTCCCACCTTAGTTTTTCCTATCCAACGAGCATGGCTTCCCCTTCGCTAAAAACAAAGCACAGATAAATTAAAGAAAAATATTTATTCCTCATCGGAAATAAACTCGGACGGGCGACGCGATTTAATGCTAATCGAAAATGCATTTGTTACTCAGGTTTCTTTGAAATTTCACGCTCAATTATAGGAATGGAACAAAAACAAAGCATTTTTTTTACAGACTTCAGTTCAAACTAGTGTCAGTTGCATAAACAACGAAAGTTTTGTGCAGGAATTATTGTTTTTTTTTTTTGCACCCAATGGAAAGTTTTCAAAGTTTTTCTTCTTTTATTTTTCCTTAAGTCGATGACAGGAGAACTCCAAACATCCTAATGAGCACGTGTGTTATGGATTGACTCTGAAATAAGCCCTGATTTGTTGTGAGCTTTTGTGGTTATCTAAAGTGAGGGCGGGTAATTAATTCCAGGAGCCACAAAACGGAAAATGGGAAAGTTTTGCCCAATTTCAACTAACAATAATAAGTGCAGTTTTAAACTTTTAAGAATGTTTACGGATACCTTCGATTCATGGACACATTGTGAGAAAAAATGAAGCTTTTCCAAAAGCAAAAACTGTTTCAGAGTGATTTCAAATAAGTTGAATGCAGACCTGTTGGTCAGATGTGTTCTTCCTTCTTTAATTTTATATCCTTTACTATTTTATTATTACCACTTAATCTTGTACGATTTTACTTTACCGAATAATAACTTTAATAGGCAAAAGGTCTTTAAAATAGGCTTATTGTAGAAATATGAAGGATAATTTTCCAGCTAGCTTTAAAAGGACTCGTCAAAGGCCATAGACCTTTCAGGACTTTTTGCATGTGCCCTTTCCTGACCATTAATTAAGTGCTGCTTGAAGGAATGAGCTTGTCTCCCATTAATCTTACAGCCTTATAAAGAACGACATAAACGGAACATATGTACGTAAATTCAGAGACAATCTCAAGAAACGACATTGAAATCGAACCGTTTCCCTCGTCCTTTTCACCTTCATTCGTGTTTTTCTAATTGAATTTGCTTTCCAGGTTTTTTTTTTGTATTTTCGCCTTTAAGATCAAGTGGTCTCCAGGTGCTTTCGTGGCTTTTTGGCCGATGTCCAGGTGATTAATGTGCAACCTTGTCTGTTTAATTAACTTGTATTTGTGCCTGCGGTACACTAAGGATGACAAAATTCAGACGCCAGCATTGATAGAGTGCTCACTTGTATTTGAGTGACTCCACCATATATAAATGGATGACTGACTGCATTTGTGCACTTAAAATAGGTTGAGTAAACACAATAGGTGCACCATTATTGTATCGAAAATGTGTGCAGTGGTTGTTAATTTGTTTTAAATCATCTAATAAGCCCCAAATTATATTTCTCATGAGTAGCGAAAACCACTAAATTCAATTAACATCGCTGCCATGAAAATAACAATTACAGCATGCATTTTAAGCTGATTCCATGTTAATTTGACGACCATTGTTTGATTGGCGTCGCAACAACGAACAGCTCATTACACAATAGCGCCCACGACACCAGCATAAAAGCATTTAAATGCTGTGATTACCTGGACGGTCGATGGGGCATGGGAATCGATTCAATTTGATTCGAGTCTTTGGTATCTATGGGATCGTTTGTAGAGGGCTTACATTAAATACAACGCTGCACTCGCTCGCTCGACATCCTGCCGTTTGTGTAAAAATTAACATTTTAATTGCATTTTGGCCTTTACATATTTCTGAGTGATCAAGGCTAGCGCCGCACTGCACACCTTTATGCAACTTTATGGGCCAATAAAAAGCGGTGTGGGAGGTAAATATTAATGCAGTGGTTAGCATTGGATAAAGTTCCGCAGGACAGAACAGGTATCCATGTGACATGGTGGCGATAAGCAACTTGCCAACAGACAATATATGGGGGCTTAACAAATACAAACATATTTGGAGCCAGAAAAAAGAATAAATGCGACAGCAGTTTGATACGGGATAAATGATGCGAGTGAGGGACATTTATTATGAAGGCCTATGGATAATATCAATGTTTGCTTAAGTTAAATTATGTACGAACATTGATTTCAATGAGGAAAACTTTTTTTAATATGACTTTACTGTACAAAATCTTATTTTCCCCTCTTTAGTGGTATGCGAGAGAACATGGAGTATATTAGGAAGTTATATAAATTATTTTTGCACCACGAACATATTTTGTAGTGTTTGATTCGTAGTTCTATTTGGAGGGGAGGGGACCATTCGCAGTCTTCGATTGAGACGGACTTAACTTCGCGGTAGAGGATAAATTATGCATTACAACTTTTATTTTATGGGTATTAAATGCATTAGTCCAAGCACAAAATGACATTTAAACATCATAAATAATTAAAATGGGTCAATACTTAGAGCTAACATTATTGCAACATTGAGTTATTTAAAAATATTTCAGTGCACTTGAATGTAAGCAAATAAACATTAAAATAGCATCAATAAATAAAATTTATTATGGAAATTATTTCCAAAAATATATACCTATTATTTTATTTAAAAAGTTCTTCTCTTTTTTTTTAGAATGCACTTCAAGAACGACTGAGCGTGTTCTTCATCATTTAATTTGCAGTTATGTAAAGCAAAATAGCTGATATTGGGGGACACTCAAACAACCGCCTTTGGGGTGAATAAATATATCTAATTAAAATCAAGCATAACCAGCCAGCTAAAAGGACCATGGCCATGGAAGGCAAATGCCTCGGCTGCATCGCTACGTCAATCCTCGTAATAATGATAAGCATTTCGAGAGCATGGACAATGCAGCACCAACATTTAAGTCCTGCCATCCAACAGCATCCTGGAATTAAATCATTATGTAAGTTTCTCACACGTTTAATCACTCAAATGTAACTCAATTCTGTGTGACTTTAATTATGTGTATGGGTAGATTGGTCCTTAAAACTATAAATTAGCCTCTGCAAAGTTGCCATCTTAAGTTTCAACACACTTAATTAAGTTTATTTAAATTGCAGGTATATCAAGTAATCGCAATTATAAATTAAGCCTGGTCAAATGCTGAATATTTATAGAATCATATAATCGGCATGTAAGATTTCTGTTATTATTAGGGTATTTATCATATTTTCTCCGTATAAATCATTTTCTTCGTGCATTTTTGTTTATGATATTACGGGAAGCAGTAACTACTAAAAACGTGGCTAATTTGTACAGTAAAAAGCCACTTTACCTCGTGGTCACAGCACATTTCCCTGAAAGAATCAGAGATGCTTTCTCCACTTACCTTTTCCCTGCTTTAATTCTTAGTGTATGAGGAACTTTTTTCCGGCTTGGCATAGCTTAATGCAGTAAATGCCTAAATCAATTATGGCCAGCAGGCTGAGGGCGAACAGAAGACTCAAGAAAATAGGCAAATAAACCAAATAAGCAAGCAAAGAATAAAATCTACTTAGCACATGTAGACTTTAATTAAATCATGGCCGAGAGGAGAACGAGAAGAGACACCGACGAGCCATCGCGGCCTTCATCTTAATCTGCAGACACCCAGCCGGAGCTCATCCTTCAGGAGAATTTTGAGGAGGGACACGGGATCTGAGCCCCGAACTCTGTTGTGGTTGTGGCTTTCAGACGTCGGGAGTCAAGGCGCCTCGGCTTTTTATGATTATGCTTAGCGTTACTTGGTCATGTTGCTGGCTTTCTGTACAAGTAAACACACAACAATAATGCCGTGCTATTTGCAAAAGCTAAGAAGTGACTTCTGGTACGTGAAATCCGTTGGGAAATAAATTGAATAAAAGTGTTTGTTACTGAAAATAAAATAAAAAATATATTCTTGAGTTAAAAAGCAAATAAATGAAATATATGTAAGATATTCTTAAATAGTATTTGATTGTTAAATTAATAAATTTTATTTTCATTTTTAAAATGATTTTCATATTTAAACCAATAAATCACAAATAACTTTTGAATTATCTTGATTTCTATTCCCACGTCTCTCAACCAGACTTATCTATATTTCAATTGTAGTTTAAAGAGTGTGGCCTTCTTGGTATTGAATGTTCGCCCAATAAACCCAGAGAAGAAACAATTTACGAGTATTCCTTCTGCACTATTTGTAATCCACCTGCATCTGTACTCGGTTGCTCTTGCTTGCATTGTTCCCTCTATGTTGCTATTGACTTTTCTTGCAAGTGACTTGGTGATGTGGGCAATACCAGAAGCAAGAACCCGTCATAAGGGAAACTCAGCCGGCTGTTTCCCACTTTGTCGCTTTTTGGGCAAAAGTCAGCCACAAACTGCAGACAAGAAAATCGAAGGAAGTGCAAGAGAGGAAGATGGCCAGCAAAACCCCCAGACCCATGGGACTCTCAGTCGCCACCTGACTGAAGGGTCCGGAAAAATCAACTCAAACTTTCCTGTTGTTTCACTTCGGAGACGAACGAACGACAAGGAAAAGTGGGGAAGCAGGAAACTGATCGTAAAATCATTTTATTGCCCCCCAGTCTGGCCGCACAATTAAACTCGGGTTTGTGCGAAATCCTTAGACCATCAAGCGGAATTATTTAAAATTCAAAAATTCCGCCCAAGCAGTTGTCGTTTCAATTAATAAAAGTTACGATTATTTTGTAGCAGCATGGAAGATGGAAGCGTGGCCATTCTGACTATTGTTGCCTCATTTAAAAATAGCTATAAAAATGTAAATAAAAAGGGTTTTATGCAATATGTTTTTAAGTGGTTTTAAATATTTCAGACAGTCATTTTAAGAGCCTTTTGAATGGAAGTCCAAGAAATGTGGGTAATTATATTAATGCAGAGTATTGTTCTTAAATTCATGACCCAACGTGATGGATCAACTAGTTATTTATTTTAATGGTTAAATGGTTAGTTAAATCGATTTTATGTAATTTTTACCATCTCTTTTTAAAAGGCCGATAGGAACGGCTATCAATTGTTAAAGAAATTATATCCTACTATAAGAATGTTATTTAATGATCATAAAATTCCTTGTAAGGTTACGAAAATAAGAAACATATATCGCCAACAAGAAAGGCATTTTATTTTCTATCTTATTTTCCACGTTAGCTTGACCCTATTTTTCCCCTGTTGATTGTGTTGTCCTGCAACCAGGACCTCTGGTTATTACGGCGTGGATATGGGAAACCATATAAATAAAGGCTCATAAAAAACATGGTTGCATGTCCTTTGTGTTGAATGGTGTATATATGTATATTAATAACTAATTGATAATATCATTAGCATATTCAATGCGCCTATCCTCCTGACATGTTATATTAAAAACGCGGCCATCAAAGCCTCATATTTCAGGGAATAGAATGATCTTCAACTTATACACAGCAATGAGTTCAAGTCATTAGTTTAGAAGCTACACCTCGTCAAAGTTAAAAAAGTTGAAAACATGAAAGGAAGTTAGCTTTGGTTAGCCGAAGTTTATATACCCTTGCAGGTATGCCTATTTTAAAGGTTGTTTTTAAATTGTCAAAAATCAAAACGTCTACATCCTACAAAGTTACAATGTTTTTTATATTATTTATTTTTAATTTTTCTATGGGAAGGTTCATCGCGATAGCTTTAAAACTGAGAGACTAGTTCGCATAAAAACAAGCAGAAATTATAATACCCTCTGCAAGAGTATAAAAATGCATAAATGGGATAATTGGCTTTGTTAAAAATACACGCCTAAAAACCGATATTAGTTTTATAACTAACCATAACAAAAATTTTAAGGACCCATTTTTTAATCAGGGATATTTACTTTAACGGAAAACCAATATTGCCTTCGAGTAGGAAAAGGTCGATTTTTTTTTTGTAAACTGGTGTTATATTATAAGGAATTTAAAAATGTTTTCTGAACTAAACATTGCTGTTCATTTCTAGCCACAGTTTTCGAATAATCGCATATGCCAAGCACGTTGGCCAAAATGCAATCTAATTTAAATGACTTAACGTTGGGCCGAAATGGACACACAAAACAAACGGATGCCATGTTCCTGGGTAAGGATAAATGAGAGTTGCTCATGTCGCATATGTCGAAATAATGCTCCTGCTCCTCCTGCAGTCAGAGATGCAGATAAGCATGGTATCCCCGTGTAATTGCACTCTACTAACTGAATATCAAATGCATAAGGTTTACTCAAAAAATTTAGGTGTAAAGGTTAAATTATATTTATTAATGCTCTTTTTGATATTTTTAAGATAGTAACATATATTATTATACATTTTTACATGGTATGGAAAGCACTTTTGGACGCAATCAAAAATATCCGAATTGCTTAATTTAACTAAAAGGTTTTTATCAGAACTTCATTAAGTTATTCACGATGAACTCTGGGGCTAAAAAACCAATTTCGGTACATGTGTAAATAATGATTTTGTTTTGCGGTCGGTAGAGTGAGTTGTATTCGTTCAGGCAAAATAATCGTTACACATAAATTTTGCCCCGAAAAAATATTAGTTTTGGGTGCCGTTCACCTAAAGCATGTCTAAAACAAAAACCATCAAACTTTATTTGTTGTGAGCATTGCTACCTTTTTATCGCATTGGGCATTCAGATTTGTTTGTGAGCTTTGCCCAAAAAATATTTTTCTTAGTAAACCCACCAATTATTGAGTGCTTTGAATATAAATCTTATAGTTACATTATTTTGTGTTGTACATCATGTTTTAAAAAGTTAACATTTCTAAAAAAATCAAAACATATACTACTTTATTGGCCAGAATGTGGGTGAGGACATTTCTGCAGCGGCTACAATGCTGGCATACAAAGGTTTCGGTTTCGGATTTCTTATTGGTGTGGCGAAATGTGTAACAAATCTTTTCTACTGTGAAAACATTACCCTTACGAGGCATACAAGTTGACATATGTAACAGGCGCCGCACCTACATAGCTCTCACATACAAATCTACAATGTAAAGGTCCGCATTGCTTGTGACAATAAGCCAAAAAATAAACATGAAATCAAAAGCCCAGGCACACATATGTACATGGGGTATACATTTTCGGGGGTTTGTGCGAAGTTTGGAGGAAAAAACCCCCTAGTCGCATGCTCCTAAAGCCGTTCTGTTAAATTTATTTCCTTTTTTCTCACTTTTGTTGCAACTTTTTTGTTTGGTTGTTCTGTGTTTTTGTTGCGTTTGGTAAGATAGGTTTATGTTTGCGGGCGGGTCTAGTATTAGTTATAGTGTTATGCATACCGACTGAGGGCGTGGCATCCAACAGTTAAAAGGTCGATTTTTGTTGCCGTCAATTTATGAAGTTTCATTTCAATATTGTTTTTTTTTGGCCCAACGGACGACCATGAAAGTCGAATTTTCCTTTATTCAGGACTATAGATTCAAGATATTAATGTGAATTAATTATCCAAACTAAAAAATACAAATAAAATGAATGTTCTAATATAGTTTCACGAAATAAAACTTTGTAGTTAAAACTGTCGAGGAAGTTGTTATTACGCTGCAGTGCAGAACAAACTATAATAAACCCACAAAAACAAATACGTGGATACAATTTACCCTATCAGGGAATTTTACACAAAGTATTTGGACGTGGACCTAGCAGTTGCAATATACGCAACGATAACAAATGATGCTGGGCTTAAAACTAGAGGGGCAGAGTGTAAAAGACACGAGAGCAAACAAGCTGACTGTTAACGATACGAAAATAAGTCCACACATGCACGCAGGACAACAGTGAGCCCTCGACGTATTAAATGGAAACCAGTTATTAGGTTTTAATCTATTACATTATGTCATACAGTGCGGTTCTAAAATAATTGATGCCTACCTTTTCGCAACAAGACTTCTCCTATCAAATTCAGCAAGTAACAATAGCAAAATTAGT